GCCTCTCTGCCTACTTGTGATCTCTGTCAAATAAATAAATAAAGCCATGTACACAGCATAAAATCGTGGGGTATGAAAGGGCAGTGAGAGAATCCATTGCTAAGTGGATCCATTCAGTGAAAGGTGGTGATTCTCACGTGTAAGATTCTTTGTTAATTGAAGGTAGAGTAATAATTATCAGTGGTGTCGTCGTTGTCGTGCCCCCCCCCCCCCCCCGTTTTGTGTGGATGTGAAGGAACTTTATCTGTAACATGTAGATCTGGGAGATCTGTAGATCTTCTCTTTGCCTCCTCAAACAGTATTTCTCAAAATCAGTAAGGGGGAACTTCATGACAGCCAGATTAAATTTAAAGTAGTGATCTTGACTAGAGAAATGGAAAAAAAAAAATCTCTGGACCTCCCAGGGTGCTGGTTCTTATTTTAATGTTTGAGTATTGATAATGTTGGTATTTGAGAATTCTGCGTTGTTAGAGGTGAGGTGGTTTTGGCAGACTTACAGAACCGGGGGAAACACCCCACAAAGCTAAAGCAGAGATGTTTCCAAAAACGGCAATCGTAATGGATAGTCATGGTAAATAATCCTTGGTCATCCCATGTAATTTTGCTGGCTGTGATTTAAGAACGCCTAACCAAGCTATCTTGAAGAATTACTAATGTGGTTGAAAGACAGTTGGGGTGATGAAGGGAAGATTTGGAAGAATTCCACTAGAAATACACATTATTTTAGATGGCTTTTCTGTTGGCCTTTGCCTCAAGTTAATTTGTAGTGTCATTCACTTCAATTTCTCATTTTGAGGGTGACTCTATCACACTGGAATGCTCACTTAATCATACCCAGTGAGAATCCTAACACGTTTTAGAATTTTTGATTGACCTGGCCAATGCCTTCTCTTTTTTTTTAAGCAAAAGGTATGATACAAATATTTTCTTAGGGAATACCTCCCAAGAGAATTGCAGCTGCCTCATTTCAAGTCTGTTTTAAATGCATTTGAAATCATTTAAATTTTTACTTGGATTTGTTTGCTTGTTACTGAGTCATTTGGGCAAGCTAAAGGCAGTAAACTAAGCTGAATTTGCTCCATTTTATCTTTTTTTTTCAGCTTTTGAATTGCAGAGCTCCCCCTTTGAGCAGTTTGGGTATCACTGTTAAAAACTTAACTGGTTTGTAAAAGAATTAAGATGGGGAGCCGCAGATAGTGATTACACTGTTAGAACACAGATCCTGAGCCTGGAAGGAACACACACATTTGAGGTTGTAGATGGAGGCAGGAAATCGGACTGCTCACTATCCTCATCTGATTTCACTGACCATATGCATCCTTGTAGGTTGGTTGGTTTCTTCAGTCATCCCAAATCTACAACAGTTACGTTTTCATTTTAAGACTAATTGCAAGATGATCTGGAAAATAAACTTGTTGGATAGAGAAAATGCATTATAAATAGATCTTTGTTTTGCTATTCAGCTTCTGTGTTTGAATACAGTGTTCAACTCGTGTCCTACCTTTTCCCCCAAAGCTTGGAGTCATTCTGAGATTAGAAAAAGGAACTCTAGGGGCGCCTGGGTGGCTCAGTGGGTTAAACCACTGCCTTCGGCTCGGGTCATGATCTCAGGGTCCTGGGATGGAGCCCCGCATCGGGCTCTCTGCTCAGCAGGGAGCCTGCTTCCTCCTCTCTCTCTGCCTGCCTCTCTGCCTGCTTTGTGATCTCTCTCTGTCAAATAAATAAAATCTTAAAAAAAAGAAAAAGAAAAAGGAACTCTAGTGCATTTTTTAAAAAAAAGAAACTTCTGTACCTTTAAAATGTCATCCCCTATATTTAGCATCCCTAAGTGTTTCTCTGATTTTAGTTGTGTGTATTACAGAATTTTGCCGTATGACACTTAGGATATTTCTCTTTAAAATAGTCCATAAAAGTTAACGTTTTGTTTTAAAGAATTCATATTAATAACTTGATCAGGAGATCATTTACTATAAAAAGAAGGTAAGGGGCACCTGGCTGGCTTAGTCAGTGGAGCATGCGACTTCTGATTTCCGAGTTGTGAGTTCAAGCCCCATGTTGGGTATGAAGATTACTTAAAAATAGGGGTGCCTGGGTGGCTCAGTGGGTTAAGACTCTGCCTTCAGCTCAGGTCATGATCTCAGGGCCCTGAGATCGAGCCCCACATGAGCCCCGCGTGGGGCTCTTTGCTCGGCAGGGAGCCTGCTTCCCCCTCTCTCTCTGCCTGCCTCTCTGCCTATTTGTGATCTCTCTCTCTGTCAAATAAATAACTAAAATCTTTTAAAAAAAAAAAAGCACCTTAAAATGTAATAAAAGTGAGTTAAAACCCCTCCAGTTATTAATTTCTAACTGGATATGGTCTATTGGCGTTCTGAATCTGAATCGTGGCTCTTTCACTATGTTTACAATAGCAGTTGGCAAAGGTTAGTTGGAGATAAACGCCAAACTGAGCATTTATTTAGAAAAATTGAAAGAAAATGTATTATTTATTTATTTTAAAGATTTTATTTGAGAGAGAGAGACAGAGTGAGAGAGCATGGGAGGGAAGGTCAGAGGGAGAAGCAGACTCCCCATGGAGCTGGGAGCCTGATGTGGGACTTGATCCCAGGACTCCGGGATCATGACCCGAGCCGAAGGCAGTTGCTTAACCAACTGAGCCACCCAGGCGCCCCAAGAAAATGTATTATTAAGGTCTCACAGTGTCCTGCATCATTTGGTACTAGATTTGTATGCCATTTACAGTCATCTGACATACAGTGGAAATGGTGCCCCATGCCTTGGGAAATATCACCCACAAATATTTTAGAACCAGTATGAGCTCATGTGCTGAGTGTTTATATTTAAATACTGTCTGATATTTTATTTACTGAACATATCATCTATAGCCTCCACAGCTCACTTTTCCTTTCCATTAACAGATGCGGCATTCCAAAAGAACTCACTGCCCTGATTGGGATAGCAGAGAAAGCTGGGGACATGAAAGCTACATCGGAAGTCACAAACGGAAGAGGAGGTCCCACAGTAGTACGCAAGAAAACAGACATTGTAAACCACATCACCAGTTTAAAGAATCTGATTGGTAAATTACTTTTGAGTTAGTAGGATTTTAACACTAGTAGTTTTAATGATTTATTAGCCTATATAGCTTTATTTTGTCAGATTTATAATTAAGTCAACAAATATTCAGAAAATGTTCATTGAGTTCCTGTTATAGGCTAGACACTGTACAGGTGCTGAGGCTACAGCTATGAATAAAACAGTTCATACTCTTGTTTATTGATGTCTGTCTGGGACTGGTGGGAGACAGTTGAGTCCCAGGTGCCAGCAGTGTACTCAGGGCGGTGAGCCATGAACAATTTAGTCATAGTGATGATAGGATGCCCAGTGAGTGCCTTTAACTGGTATGTAGGAGGAGATATGTATTTTAGGGTGCTCATTTAGGGTTGCACAAATGAGAGATGATGAGGGGGTAGAGAGAGTTAATCCAGATGAGAAAACCAGCATGTGCTGCTTGGGAATGGTAAAGTGCATGGGGGGCTTAGTCACTTAAACTGTATTCTATAGGTTATATTTGTAGATAAGGCTAGTGGAGGTGTGTAGGATTTTTAGAAGCTTGGTTATTGTAAGAATCAGTAATTTAAGAAAGGGCCTCAGTGTAAATGTTTCAATAGCATGTGTCCTGTTTAAGTATATGCTTACTGTGTAAAATTCAGAGGTGATACATTTATATAGAATTAAAGAAATTAAAGAAATTTTAAAGTTCCTAAAGGATTAAAGAAAGGCTAGGTGAGTAACATTTCTTTCAGTCTGTCTTCCATTAACTTCCCTTTCTCATTTGTTTTGTTGGTTCTATGTTTTCTCCTTGTTTTGTACAGATGTTCCATTGAGACTGTTTGCCAGATTGCTTTCTAAATTAGCCAGCTGGGGTTACTTTAAAAAACAGTATGTAATTTTTTTCCTTCTCCATGCTAAAACAGACTTGTTCTGTGGAACAATGAGCTTGTTGGTAGTCACTGTAGACTAGTCTTTCTTCATCATATGCTGTCACGTGGGGAAGAGGGAGAGTTTTCACCAGGATGACAGTGACCTGAGCTAATTAGTGCATTGCAGGAAAACGTCTGTACCCTTTTATTTTTTTATTTTTTTATTATTTTTTTAAGATTTTATTTATTTATTTATTTGACAGAGAGATCACAAGCAGGCAGAGAGGCAGGCAGAGAGAGAGGAGAAAGCAGGCTCCCTGCAGAGCAGAGAGCCCGATGCGGGGCTCGATCTCAGGACTCCAAGATCATGACCCGAGCCGAAGGCAGCGGCCCAACCCACTGAGCCACCCAGGCGCCCCTGTACCCTTTTATTAAGAAATAAAAATGCCCTGTGAAGCTTAACATCATAGTACTAATAATTGATAAGTTTGTTATTGTATATGTAGGAAGGAAGATTTGAGTGATGAACAGTTTTCATGTTCCCAGTTAACCAGTAAGCCAAGCTGCTTCTTTGATATCGGCACTAGAGGTTGTCTCTTGGTAATTGCGCTCCATAATCTGGAATATTATTATTATTATTTTTTTTTTTTATTTACTTATTTGACAGAGCGATCACAAGTAGGCAGAGGGGAGGGAAGCAGGCTCCCCGCTGAACAGAGAGCCTGATGCAGGGCTCCATTCCAGGACTCCGAGATCATGACCTGAGCCTAAGGCAGAGGCTTAACCCACTGAGCCACCCAGGCGCCCCAATGATCTGGAATATTCTAATAGTCTTTTTTGAAGATAAAGAAACTTTACAGTGGTATTTTTTATAAAATAATTGGAATTACTACAGGTCTCTAACTGCAGTAAACTGTAAAGAAGGTAACCTTGGCAGGTTGCTAGGCCCCCATTATTTCTAACTATTTGTTCTTAAAAAAAAAATTGATTCTTTACAAGTCCTTGCCTCTGATTATTTCCTGAAAATATGTTCTGAGAAGGGACATTTTTAAGTTAAAGGGTGTGAACTCTTACAAAGCTCTTGCTACATATTCATGTTTTTTTTCCCCTAGAAAGTTTGTACCAGATTCTACAACATGTTTCCATGCTCCTACCAGTCTTGGCATTTTGATAGGCCAAGAATAGCGGTTTTAATTTGAATTTTTAAGGTTTTAGTGAGTTTGTCCAATACATGCTTTTTCTCTTTCAGAGTATTGCACTGATTAGAAGAGCTTTTACTGTATATCTTTTTTAAACTTTTTTTTTTTTTCATACATATTGCAAAGTGTCTTTTCTGATTTGTCTTTTGGCTGTAGCCTGTGAATTGGTCTCTGTTGGTACAGGCTTAACTAGTTCTGTACTATATCACTAAGACTCATGTGGCTATGAACAATGCCTTTGTATATTGTGGTAAAAGTTCTTAAGTGTCTTCTTATGTAACCTAGAGTGTCAAGTCTTAAACCAGTGATTCTCAAATTTGAGAATGAACAGAATCGCCTCAGAGGTATGTTTTAAATGCATATTACCGGATGTAGAATTAGTCATTCTGACCTGGGGCCCAGAGATCTTCATTTTTAATAATTCATATTTAGATAATATTGAAGAAAGACCACCCTTTGAAAACACCATTTTAAACTCTTTAGCCTGGCATGCAAGATTCGCATGATCTGTTCCATGCTTATTTATTTGCCTCTGTTTGTTCCCCTATGTGGAATATTGGTCTTGCTGTAATTGTCTACATACTGTTCTCTGGGAGATACATAGACAGCCCATCTCCCAGAACACTGTTGTGATCTATTAATGTGAGATGGTACTAATACCATTCTTCTCCCCGGCGTTTCTTCTACTTTCTACTTTGTCCAGATCTTGACTTCCCTTTAAGATGCAACTATGCTTTTTTTTATGAAGTCTTCTCTCACCATTTTAAGCATTTTAAGTCCCATTCCCCACCCCACCCCCATGATCCTAAGCACTCATGCAGCCTTTCAGCATTTCCTGCATTGTTGAGTTTTGTTTTTATGTTAGTAATCTCAAATTGTTCATTTGTTGGCAAGGATTTTGCCTTATATATATTTTTTTATCTTCCACAGGACCTGTGTGGAAATAAAAACGAATGCCCGTAGCCTCATTAGTCTTGGCTATTTTGAAGGACCACAGTGAAATATTCACTGGATGTTCAGTGAATATTTTTAGAATTTAAATCAGTCTGTTCATCTTGTCCACTCTGTCCATACTTCGCCTTTATAATTCTGTAGACTTTGTTTACATGATCTCTAAAGCGTGGTTGTTACAGATTGAAGAGGTCCCTCATCTTTCTAGTTTATCCTCATGGCTTTATTTCACCTCATGTTTGTCAGTCTGTAATTTGTTTATGGATTACTGCAGCTCTAGTTTTATGTACTATTTCAGCTAAAGATTATTAGCATTAGTTTTTTCTGATAGGCTTTGGACTTATATGGAAGGGATGCCTTACAGAATTAAAAAGGATGCCCTTAATAGTGAGATAATTTCTAGCCTGATGTATTGTAGATTTCTCATTGACAGTTTGAGGCCAAGTGATCAGATCCCTGACCTAGACCCACATTCTTATCGTAATATCCTGAGTTGTTTCTCCAATGGTTAGAACTTAAGATTGAAACTGACAAACGGGAGAAAAGGGGGTTCTGCATTTCCCTAGCCTGGATTTGATGGCAGGCCTGTTGAGTAGGAGTTTAGAGATGCTTTCCTTTTATTTCTGCCTACACCAGCCCCCCCCTGGGAAAAAGAACAACAGCATATTCTGGGGAAAGAATGAGGTTGGTGAGGGCAACTAGTCAACATCTGTCACTCCATTGCTTGTCAGGATTCTTTTAGCTGATTTGTCTGACTGGGCAGGTGTCCCCTCTCTCCCTCAGTGCTCCATGTGCATCCCTCTTGAAGCTTCGCACTCTGTTGAAGAGGACACCATCCCAGGTAGAGAGGGGGACGGGAAACTGGGCCAATTGAATCTATGTCCTTTTCTTTCCATCAGATCAAGGCTACTTAAGTGGGATCTGTTGACTTCCTGGGGTCTGTGACCTCTATGAAATTCCTTGCTGAGTTTTGTTTACGCATTTGTGCATTTCTTAGGGGAGAGGGTCCATAGCTTTCATCAGATTTTTAAAGGGATCTGTAGATTCAGAAGTTAAGCACCATGGCACTAGATGATAAGGTTTCCCATGAAGAATTTTTGAGTATTTTGCAAGCAGGAATGACAGGAAATGAGAAATGCAAAGGGAAATAGGGGTGGTGCGGGTGGGTGTTTTGTAATCCTAGGCAAGCAATTACAAGATCCTTTTCTCATTTGTGGGGAATATATTTTAATGTCTTTGGCACATGAGGCAACCTTCAAAAGCTGTGTTGTCTGTTTCTCCAAAAGGAGAAACAGAAAGCTAGGAATACGGAGAGGAGAGGAGATGGGATGGGTGATATGTGTAGTAAAATTGGCCCGTGTAATAGTTAGAATGTGCTCTACAACCATGGCAAATCCTTTTCTTTCTAGGGCTCTTAATTCAGTTATCTGTGAAATGAAAGGATTGGAATACATGTAAGATTCCTGCTAGCTCTAGTACACCTTTCATGAAAGAATTCTGTGTGTGCCAGAGATAACTAAAATTCACTTAATATTAAAAGAGAAAGGAATCCTGTTTTTGCCTGCCTCTGATTGTATGTGGCTCTGTGAGGAAAGCGAGTGAGCTTAGTTACGGATGCATATATCATAAGACTGATAAATTGCAGAAGAGTAGTTTTGTGAAGTTTTCTGTTTTAACTGTCTGCAAAAGGTAAAGGGACACTTAGTAAACCCTGAGCATAACATAATTGACTCAAGCTTTGTTCCTTGATGTGAGGTGTTTGATAGCAGTGTATCTGATGGAGAATGTGAACCCACTTGTTGGTTAAAGCAAAATTATGTCTTAAGTTTGTGAGATAAGTATAAACTAATCCATCAATTTGAGGTTTTTTCTTTTATTGAGTTAGCTGTTTAACCAGGAATTATTGAATGTTCTGTTTGAGCTACACTGCTGCAGAATGAAGAGAATGATTTGAAATCCTTTACTGTGTTCGCAGTCATTATTTAGAAGCGAGGTCCTTGAATGAGAGAGATTATCGGGACCGGAGATACGTTGATGAATACAGAAATGACTACTGCGAAGGCTATGTACCTAGACATTATCATAGAGACGTTGAAAGCGGTTATCGAGTCCATTGCAGTAAATCTTCGGTCCGAAGCAGGAGAAGCAGTCCTAAAAGGAAGCGTAATAGACACTGTTCAAGTCACCAGTCACGTTCGGTATGATTGATTTTGTTTTTATTTGGGTGGATGATTATTTGTGTGTAAAAGCTCTTAAGAATCCAGTAAGTTTGAAAAAGTTTATATATACATATAATATTATTTGGATATATTATAATTGTGTTTATATTATTTGAGTCCTTAAAACATCCAGATTCTCATAGCTAATCTGTATTTATTAGGTAGTCTTCATTTGCCCACATTTACTCATTTTCTGCAGTCCAGATCATGAGTTCTTGATTTTAATATTAAAAAAAAATTTTAAGTTTTGTAATATAATTTTATGAAAAGATGAAGCACCCATCTTTTCTTTCATCTTAAGCTTTTTATTTATTTATTTATTTATTTATATTTTTTATTTTAAAAGAAGCCCTTTTCCTGAGAGTTGGAAACAAATCTATAACGTTGCTCTGACGGATACTTAACTATTGTTACTCTCTAGGTAGGGAAGTCCCAGAGTACAGTGCGTCATTGTCGTAGCTAGTTCCATTGAAATTCTGAAATGGGTGCTGAATGGAAAATGTATTAGCATGCCTCTTTTTACACTCAGACATCTTCACCTGTTTAATCCGTAAACTTTGAATAAATTGTTTTCTTCCCCAAGTTTTCTTCAGTAGAGGTAGCTTTGATTATTAGATTGAATGCTGAAATTAACTAGCTTTAATTTCCCCTTTTACTTTATGTATATTTTAAAATATTGCTAAATAAACATTCCAACTAATCTTGACATTTTAAAACCTTTTCCTGACAACCTAGACATCTCAGTTCACAGCATATGCTATTGTAGAGCAAGAGATTAGTAGATCATGACATTGCATTCTTTAAATTTCAGACTTCAATTAAATCAGTATTTTAAAGAGACAAATGTGTTGTTTTTTTCTATTGCCACTTTAAGTATCTTATCTGAAAATCTGTTCCTTGCCATGTTTTTCTTCTGTAACATAAACTGTGCCCTGTGAATTTCTGGGGACTGAATTTGAAATTGCTCCTGCCAACTGTTCGTGGCCTGGTGCTTATCTGAATGCCTGAATATCTCCCCGCTGAATGAATTGCGTATTCTGCCCTGAATTCACTCTGATATATTGATTGGCTGGACGATCTTGGTGCTGCCCACTTGCCGTTCCAGAAGAGCCACCGAAGGAAAAGATCCAGGAGTATAGAGGATGATGAGGAGGGTCACCTGATCTGTCAAAGTGGAGACGTTCTAAGAGCAAGATGTATAGAATATTTTTCAACACTTTTTTAACTTTGCAGACAGAATAATCTTTTTAAGAATAGTTTGTCAGCGGGGGGCTAAAGAACTCTTCATTGCTTTTTTGTTTTGTTTTTTGTGGGTTTGTTTGTTGTTTTGTATTTCTTCTTTTCTGTAGAATTTAAAATATTTGTACTCTAAAGTTCCAAAATAATCAATGGAATTTGAGATTAGAGCAAGAAAGATAGCTCTATCTAATTGTTTTTGTAGCAGCTGAAAATAAAATAATTTGAGTGCTGGAACCTTAGTTATGCTTTGATAGAGATCATTTGAAAATATTCCACACTTAAGTATTCATTGTTTGAATAACTAGATAATTTGATCTCAGGTACTTACTCGTCTTTCTCCTCCCTTACTTTAGATGAAATCGTGGACACTTTGGGTGAAGGGGCCTTTGGCAAAGTCGTAGAGTGCATTGATCATGGCATGTAAGTTGTTTTTTTCTTTTTTGCACATTCTGATATTTCTTGGGAAGGATCCATCATTTAGATGAATGGTATTTTAAGTATTAGCCACATGTTTTCCTGGGTGCTGTAAATACCCAGAATTTCTTGAACTGTGTCTGAGTTATTTACCAAGAATGTGGATTTTGATCAAGAATGCTGACAAATTTGGGGGCACCTAGCTGGCTCATTTGGTGGAGTGTGCGACTCTTGATTCCCAGGTTGTGAGTTTGAGCCCCAGGGCAGGTGTAAAAATTACTTAAAAATGAAATCTTGTAAACAAAAACCTGACAGATTCTATGGATGGTGTTTGTTGAAATTAAAGTGGGTCTTCAAGTGAAAGGGTTTCCTAGACCTTAGGCCTTGACCCTTATTTGAGATTCAGAGTGCTTTGCTTTAGTTTTGAATAGCAGAGACAATAAAGCTTTTCTTTCTTTCTTTTTTTTTTTTTTTTTTAAAGATTTTATTTATATATTTGACAGAGATCACAAGTAGATGGAGAGGCAGGCAGAGAGAGAGGGAAGCAGGCTCCCTGCTGAGCAGAGAGCCCAATGCGGGACTTGATCCCAGGACCCTGAGATCATGACCTGAGCTGAAGGCAGTGGCTTAACCCACTGAGCCACCCAGGCACCCAATAAAGCTTTTCTTTTCTTTTCTTTTTTTTTTTTTTTTAAGATTTTATTTTATTTATTTGACAGAGAGAGATCACAGTAGACAGAGACAGGCAGAGAGAGAGAGAGAGAGAGAGAGGGAAGCAGGCTCCCCACCGAGCAGAGAGCCCAATGCGGGACTCGATCCCAGGATCCCGAGATCATGACCTGAGCCGAAGGCAGCGGCTTAACCCACTGAGCCACCCAGGCGTCCCCAATAAAGCTTTTCTAATCTCAGTGGGAAACATGTATTCCCCATCTGAAAATCACACAGTGGAAGAAATGGCCTAGCGAAAAGCAGTCTACCCTGGAGTGTCATTAAGGATTGGAAGGGAACATCTTCTGTTTAAAAGGTTTTGGAACCTTCTAGGGGCTCCTGGGTGGCTCTGTTGGTTAAGTGTCTGCCTTTGGCTCAGGTTCATGATCTCCAGGTCCTGGGATCAAGCCCCCATTAGGGAGGCTTAGTGGGGCATCTGCTTGTCCCTCTACCCCTCCCCCTGCTCATGCTCATAATCGAGTTTGTTCTCCCCCTCTGAAATAAATGAAATCTTAAAAATAAAAGGTTTTGGAACCTTCCAGCTTTTTTGGGAATGATTCATAATTACAACTAGAAAGGAAGTCTGCTATTAAGTACTAGATATTACTAGAAGAATTTCATTTTATCACAGTTGTGCTTTATATCATGCGGATTTTGTACATTGTTTCTTCAGACTTCATGAAATAAAAGCTTCTATGGCAAAAAAACAAAAACACGGGGCACCTGTGTGGTTCAGTGGGTTATGCTTCTGCCTTTGGCTCATGATCTCAGGGTCCTGGGATTGAGCCCCACATCGGGCTCTCTGCTCAGCAGGGAGCTTGCTTCCTCCTCTCGTTCTGCCTGCTGCTCTGCCTACTTGTGATTTCTCTCTATCAAATAAATAAAAATCTTAAACAAAACAAAAATAGAACAAAAACCTTTATTCCCAAATCTGCATATTAGAGTTGGGTGTTGTGTTTTGTTTTGTTTTTTAAGATTTTATTTACTTGTTTGACAGAGATTAGAGAGAGAACACAAATAGAGCGGCATGAAGAGGGAGAAGTAGGCTTTCCGCTGAGCAGGGAGCCCCATGTGGGACTTGATCCCACGATCCTGGGATCATGACCCAAGCTGAAGGCAGACATTTAACCAACTGAGCCACGCAGGCACCCCTTGAGTTAGTTTAACTATGAAGAAATTCTGTTATTTAAAGGCTGCAGAATAAAGGCCAGATTCCTTAATATGAAACCCTTTGTGATTTGGCCTTCTGTGTCTTGTTTTAACATTTTCCTCCAGATCTCTGTTCTGTAGTTTGCAAACTTTTTATAAATGAACCTCTTTAAAGCAATTCAGTTCAACTGCACATCTCTAAAATGACATCTAAAATTTTTCATCATAAAGTAGTTGGCTGAGTGGGTTAAAGCCTCTGCCTTCAGCTCAGGTCATGATGCCAGAGTCCTGGGATAGAGCCTCACATCGGGCTCTATGCTCAGCAGGGAGCCTGCTTCCTTCTCTCTCTATCTCTGTCTGCCTCTGCTTACTTGTGATCTCTGTCAAATAATGAATAAAACTTTTAAAAAATAAAATAAAATAAAATTTCTTGAGATTCCAAATTGTATTTGAGATACTCCAATTAATAGTATTCAGTTGATTAAGTAGAAATCTTTGCAAATTTTGATAATTATTTGACAAAATAATTTGACAAAATACAAAAGTTAATTGGAAATGTGTCTTGTATTGGGTTAGTTTGGGCTTAAAAAAAGGAGTAAATGGGGGCGCCTGGGTGGCTCAGTGGTTGAGCGGCTGCCTTCGGCTGAGATCATGGGGATCGAGCCTTGCGTTGGGACTCCCTGCTGAGCGTGAAGCCTGCTTCTCCCTCTCCTGCTCCCCCTGCTAGTGTTCCCTCTCTCATTGTGTCTCTCTCTCTCATATAAGTAAAATAAAATCTTTTTTTTTTTAAGATTTTTTATTTATTATTTGACAGACAGAGATCACAAGTAGGCAGAGAGGCAGGCAGAGAGAGAGAGAGAGAGGAGGAAGCAGGTTCCCTGCTGAGCAGAGAGCCCGATGTGGGGCTCGATCCCAGGACTCTGGGATCATGACCTGAGCCGAAGGCAGCGGCTTAACCCACTGAGCCACCCAGATGCCCCGTAAAATAAAATCTTAAAAAAAAGGAATACATGTATTCATAAACATACTTCAAGTGCTTAAGATGTTTCCTTTTTGGGGGGCTCCTGGTGGCTCAGTGGGTTAAAGCTTAATCTGACTTGAGATCAGGTAATGATTCCAGGGTCCTGGGATCGAGCCCCACTTTGGGCTCCCTGCTCAGCAGGGTGTCTGCTTCCTCCCTCCCCACCTACCTCTCTGCCTACTTGTGATCTCTGTCTCTCTATCAAATAAATAAATAATAGCTTTTAAAAAAGGTGTTTCCTTTTTTTTTAAAGATGACATGTAATCTGTAAGTTGAAAGTATACAAGTGGTCATTGTAATTACTGAAGTAGTGTTAGCTAACAGCTTTATTAATTTTTCATTCCCAGAGCTAATAAGCACTGAGAAAACTTGGGTCATACATAGATGATACTAGAAGGAGTTTTGTCATACAAGTTTCATAGCAACTCTTTGAAGTCTTGAGATACATACCAAGTATCATAGGAAGATTATCATGAAAATAAGTCTTTAATGATTTATCAGGGCACAGTTTCACTGGAGCTTTTTGAAAACTGAATTGGAAACCACCAGACTTAGAAAAAAAAGGTTTGTTGTCCAGCCACTAGAAAACTCAAGGTTGGTTGGTTCATTGTACAGTCTAGGGCACATATCTTTTCTTTTTTTCTTTTCTTTTCTTTTTTTTTTTTTTTAAGGTTAATTTATTTATTTTGAGGGAGACTGAGGGAAGGGACAGAGGGAAAGCGAGAATCTCAAGCAGACTCTGCAGTGCTCACCTAGCAAGATGTGAGGCTGGATCTCATGACCCTGAGATCATGACCTGAGCCGAAATCCAGAGTTGGTGGCTGCTGAATGGGCTGTGCCACCTAGGCACCCCTTACGGCACATATCTTATACTAATGGGGGGTATGAAGTTTTCTTGTGTAAAGTGGAAGGACCAGAGTTTAAAAAAAAAAAAAAAGAAAAAAAAGGTTTGAGTGCTGGTTCATCTTCAGGAAGATCAGATTTAGAAAAGAAGACAAAAGGAATTTGAAGAAATCCATTTCCTCAAGAGCATGCGTGGCTTGATACATTTTATTTATTTATTTATTTATTTATTTATATATTTTTAAAAGATTTTATTTATGTATTTGACAGAGATCACAAGTAGGCAGAGAGAGAGGGAGGAGGAAGCAGGCTCTCCGCCAAGCAGAGAGCCCGATGCAGGGCTCAACTCTGAGATTATGACCTGAGCCGAAGGCAGAGGCTTTAATCCACTGAGCCACCCAGGAGCCCCACTTGATACGTTTTAGGAAGTATTACAGATAACCCTGATCTAAAGCTTGTGCCCCCCACTAGCTGTTTCTCTTCACTTGAGTCAGTGAATATAGTAAACATTTTCCTGGCTTCATGACTTACTGGTGGTCAGTCCTTTGTTTGAACATGTTCAGTTTTTCTCCCAAATCTTAAAGACTGGTAGCTGTTTTTCAGGGCTCAGTCATGTGTCAGCTTCTTCTCTGAATAAGTTTGAGCCTCCCTTAGCCCCCTAATTGTTAGGCTTGCCCATCTCTTCGCTGTGTAGTAGCTCATACGAAGCACTTCTGACCTTGTAAGTTGTTCATGTGTCTATTTTTTCCATTTGACTGAGGAGCATAGGGACAAGCCTTGTCTTCATCACTAACACCTGTGTGCCTTCTGGCACAGGGTGGGTCTGAGCATATGCTTTTAGCAGTAGCATGTTCTATTTGAGGTTTTATTTTTATTTTATTTTTTTTTAACTTTTGTATGAAGTCTAGGTAAATGTAAAATTCTGAAAACATTAAAATTTTTGAGTATTAAGGAATTAATTGCTTGATAGAAATTGTGTTTTGTCAGGTTGTTTTGAAAGGATGTTAAATGGAATTGGATATAAGGTGTCCTGAAATTTCGACTTTTAGAACAATAACAGAGTAATTGATACGCAGTAAGATTATGCTTTAGAGGATACGTCTTCATCCTGCTTCTATACATAAATGGTTTTCATCTTAATTTTGTTTTTAAGGGATGGCATGCATGTAGCAGTGAAAATTGTAAAAAATGTAGGTCGATACCGTGAAGCAGCTCGTTCAGAAATCCAAGTATTGGAGCATTTAAATAGTACTGATCCCAATAGTGTCTTGTAAGTATAGACTTGAACTGTGATCTGTCCTGTTGCCTAAAATAACCAGAATTCTGTGAACTGACTTGTTTTTATTTTGATCTGTTTTAGCCGATGTGTCCAGATGCTAGAATGGTTTGATCATCATGGTCATGTTTGTATTGTGTTTGAACTACTGGGACTTAGTACCTATGATTTCATTAAAGAAAATAGCTTTCTACCATTTCAAATTGACCACATCAGGCAGATGGCATATCAGATCTGCCAGTCTATAAATTGTAAGTATACTTGATAAATTTTAAATACCAGAAAATTAAGTTTTCATTGTACAAACAACATGTCAAAACATTGTTACTAAAAATACACATTATAGGTAAAGATGAAATTCCTATACCACTATTAATCTTATATGTCCCCCAGTACAGATGAAATACATAAGTGAAACTAATAATGTCTTTTTGTTCTCTTGTAGTTTTGCATCATAATAAGTTAACCCATACAGATCTGAAGCCTGAAAATATTTTATTTGTGAAGTCTGACTATGTAGTCAAATATAATTCTAAAATGGTAAGTTACAGTTTTATTTTAATTTTGGTGGTGGTTTTTAAAATTAATTTGTTTTGGTGATCTTCGATGAGGAATTTCATTTTCATTTCTGAGGCTGGTTATATCCTGATATTTAACCAAAAAAGGATAATCCTTCTTTACCTTTCTCATGGAGTTATGTTGAAAATCAAAAAGTTAATTCATGTGCATGCCTTTTGAAGTGCTGTAAAGTATTTCGTGTCTTTACTGATCTTCATGTTGACTCAACTATATTTTTCTAGAAACGTGATGAACGCACATTGAAAAACACAGATATCAAGGTGGTTGACTTTGGAAGTGCAACGTATGATGATGAACATCATAGTACTTTGGTATCTACACGGCATTACAGAGCTCCAGAGGTCATTCTGGGTCAGTGGACACCATCCTTCCTGATACTATAATAGATTTTTTTTTTCCTCCACATCTTTTGTTAGGGGACAGGTAGAGGGATGGGTGTGATTTTCTTAGTGTACAGAAAATAGATTATCTGTCCTAAGAAAAACTGTCTGGACATGGCTACAAATACTTTTCCTGAATGGGAAAAATGTGATATCATCTGTGAAGACATTCTAGGTGGTTGGTTTTTGTTGTTGTTTTTAATTTTTACTTTTTTAATTTATGTATGTGTGCATGCTCCGCTCCATGCCCAGCACGGAGCCCAGAGCAGGGCTTGAACTCACATCCCTGCGATCAAAACCTGAGCTGAAATCAAGAGTTGGACGCTTAACTGAGCCACCCAGGTGCCCCCAAGTGATTTTTTTTTTTTTTTTAAAGATTTATTTATTTATTTATTTATTTATTTGACAGACAGAGATCACAAGTAGGCAAAAAGGCAGGCAGAGAGAGAGGGAGAAGCAGGCTTCCCGCCGAGCAGAGGGCCCGATGCGGGGCTCAATGCCAGGACCTTGAGATTATGACCTGAGCCGAAGGCAGAGGCTTTAACCCACTGAGCCACCCAGGTGCCCCCCAAGTGATTATGTTTTAAGCAAGTTAACCACACGAGATCATAAAAGGGCAAGTTCTAGTGACAAAGTATGTCACGGCAGTGTGAAGTGATGGGGGGTACCAGTTCTCACGTTACAATAGCATGGTGCTGTAGAAATGCTAAAGGTCTGGTTGGCAGACATGTAGGTAAAGGGCAGGTGGAGGTCAAGAAGAAAGAGGGGCCAGTCTAAGAGGAGCAGTTTGATAATCCTTGACTTGAGAAAGATTAAAGAAGAAAATGACTTTAAGGTACCAAGTTTTAAAAAAAGAGGGACTTCAGTAAGGGAGTGCGTATCTTGCACCTCAAAATGTCAGAGACCAGGTCTTGTTAATAGAGTGGAGAAGTGTCAGAGAGGAGGTTGGGGGTTCAGAGACCATGGGAGGAAGTTCAGATCAGGTGCTCTTGAGACATGGTACATGGAATAGGCTTGTTAGCAGAAAGGTCCAACTGAGGTTGGATAGAACATTTTTGCAGAGTCCGTTTGTACTTTTCACCTTTTTTGTGCAACAGGAGTTGGTAGTTCAGAATAAGAGTAGGAAAACAAACTAACAATTTTTACTTGGGAGCGGAGGATTGCTAAAAGCATAAGGAAATTGAGAGTATTATGCAGTGCTGGCCAGTAGAGCTGTCCATGTTTCTGTGGAAATGTTCCGTATCTGCAGTGTCTAGTATGGTAGCTGTAAACCACATGTGGACTACTGCATACTTGGAGTGTAGGTAGTGGGACTGAGGCACTGTATTTCAAATTTTATATTAGTTTAAATGTTAGCTGTAAATAGCCTCATATTAGCTGGTGGCTTCCGTGTTGGACAGCACAGGTCTTGAACTTGTCTTTGAAATGGATGATAATAGGATTTCTGCTTAGTATGGTCTGCAAGGACCTATTGTGTTGCAGTAGTTTAGAAAGTGCATTCATGGTTGAGGACTAAAGGCTTGAGTGAGGGCAAAAGAAGTATGGGAAGAGTCTATGGACGGAGAGCTATTTTCAGATCTTGAAAGGATACGACTTCCTATGTTGTCAATTTTAAGATGCAGATTACCCCCCCACACACACAATACAAAGTAACTGGCATTTTTTTTTTATTAGTACATAAAATAGTTGTGTGTCTTTCTGTTAACAGCCTCCTAGATTGGATAAAATACAGTAATTTTTAAGAATGACCATAACACAGTTCCAAGTATGGCCATACTAGATAGCTGCTATGAATCCGGAATTGGGGTTATTGCCCTTGAGGAAAAGAAGTCAGCGGATTGGGCAATTAGAAGGGCCCTTTGTGTTTCTGGATTACTGATCCTGAGGATTGAGGCAGAATTAGGTTGAAGAGATTTATATTGAGGCAGAATTAGGTTGAAGATGAAATCAGGGGCTGCCATTGAGGAGGGCAGTTGGTCGCCTGCCTTGCGCGTTGGTAGTAAATGGATGAGGCTGAGAGAGGTAGGTAGACGTGAATGGTGGGAAATCCCAAAGAGTCCGAGCGCTGACTTCCCAGAAAATGGGATGGTTTAGAACGGTATGTGGCAGAAGGTTATGGTCATCTGTGAACAAAGCTGCTTTAGAAGATGGGAGTGGCTGGAGGGATGCCTGGGTGGCTCAGTTGGTTGGACATCTGCCTTCGGCCCAGGTCATGATCCTGGAGTCCCAGGATCGAGTCCCGCATCGGGCTCCCAGCTCCACGGGGAGTCTGCTTCTCTCTCTGCCCTTCTCCTCACTCATGCTCTCTCTCACTGTCTCTCTCTCAAATAAATAAATAAAATCTTTAAAAAAATAAAATAAAAAAGAAGATGGGAGTGGCTGGAGAAGAAAACCTTCATTTTAGGTCTAAGATCTATCATTTGCAGATTTTTTTATGTGTCACTGTAGGTAGAATCCATTTGTTACCCATTTGTTCAGATGGTAGGCATTGCGAGCATTAACGAAAATGACTAAATTAAGATATAAGTAAATAAAATGACTAAGTCATAGTCAAGTTTTTGAATGCTTTTCGTTATTGAAAGTAATTGGGATGTCTTTTACAGTAGGTTTTATTTATACATTATTATTTTATTAAGTACTTGATCTTTAGAAGTTGAAAATATCTGTACGGTTTACTTTTTTTCTCCTTTCCAATTAAGTAGGCTTAAGAAGACTAGGTATTTTATTTTTTCCTGAATGGTACTGCCATTGAGAATTGTGAAAGAGAAAGTATACGTGAAATCACGTACCAATAGCCTAAAAAGTACATATATAAGTAGAATAAGTAGATCCTGTGAACTATAAATGGCTCTATAATTCTGCTTATAGTGAAACTGCTTATAATACCATTACAATCTTTATATAATTTATGTAAAATTATATTTTTCTAATGCAAGAAATAAACTCTGCCTTTAAGCTGATAATAAATGGTTAGTAATTACATTTTGAGGATGATTGTCAACCTATATTTGCTATAAAAATGTAAATTTTCCTGGAGCAACCATGAACTGGGTATAACCATGCTCCCCATTGCATGCGGTTCAGAGTTGATGGAGTATTTGTACAAATCGGTAGTTACATGTAGAAAATACTTGCTAGCCCTTTTCTTATTTTACATAAAATGCCCCCACCCCCAGATTAAAGCACTGACTTGTTGTAAGGATGTGGAGAATTATGAGAACATACTGAATTTTATATAAAACTGAACATTTTACATAAAACTGAAAATGTAAACCCTAAGTTTACTGTCCTATTCTCCCAAATGGGCTAGGTGAAAAGGGCCCCCATACAGGGAAGGCTGTAGGGTATTGGCAATTAAAAATTGTTGCATATACAAGTGTTGCGTTTTGGGGGGCACCTGGGTGCTCCGTCAGTTGAGCATCTGCCTTCGGCTCAGGTTGTGGTCCTGGGGTCCTGGGATCCAGCTCCGCGTCAGGCTCCCTGCTCAGCGGGGAGTCTGCTGCTTCCTCTACTTGTGTGTGTGTGCTGTCTCTCTCTCTCTCTCTCTCTCTCTCTCTCTGTCAGATTAATTAAAAACAAAACAAGTATGTGTTTTTGTTTTTACAGCTTTAGGTTGGTCCCAGCCTTGTGATGTTTGGAGCATAGGTTGCATTCTTATTGAATATTACCTTGGTTTCACAGTCTTTCAGGTATGTATTTAATAAATAGCATTTCATAATTCTCAGTGTTAAAGGCGTATGAAAATTTAGGCCTCCATATTGACAAGTTGCTGTAGTGTTCTTCTTAAGGTTAAAATTTACATATGGAAAATGGTCATTCTTCTCTAAAACCAGAATTGGGGGAACTACTCTTAGTGAATGGTCATAGTGCATTTTGCATGTGATTGGAGTTCATATTGTCTTGTGTTTCCATTTTTTTATTGAAAAGTTTGTTTTAGTGTTATTGTGGCCGGCTTTAATTCCATTCTGGTTATGTTGACTGTCAGCATGGCCATGACCAAGTCACTTGGTCCTTTTTATAAAGTGATTCAGGAAGAATAAGTTGTATTTGAGATGTTTGTATTAAGCATCTGTGACCCCCAGGCACATTTCAAGGCGCTTAGGTGTATAAAGATGAAAAGACAACATCTCTGTCGTCAAGGAAGTCGTGCAAAAGATAGACATGGGAGAGCTTACAATACAGTGTGGTGTATTTGCTCTCATGGGACAATGTGGAAAGTGTAGTGGGAACCCAGGAAAGATGGACAGTTCGATTCCTCTGAAAAGGTGTCACTGAGGAGGTGTGGGGAGTTTAAGCCAGCACTAGAAGGAAGATGAGGGCTTTGTCAGAAAACCAGACAATGTGGAGGTCGGCTCAGGAAGAGGAAGCTGGACCCATAAATGTGTGGAGGCATAAAAGAATGTACTCTGGGGGTGCCTGGGTGACTCAGTGGGTTAAAGCCTCTGCCTTCGGCTCAGGTCATGATCCCAGCGTCCTGGGATCGAGCCCCGCATTGGGCTCTCTGCTCTGCGGAGAGCCTGCTTCCTCCTCTCTCTGCCTGCCTCCCTGCCTGCTTGTGATCTCTCTCTCTGTCAAATAAATAAAATCTTTAAAAAGAAAAAAAAAAGAACGTACTCTGGTTGGGGAATTGTAAACAGTGCTGTCAGAATCTTGCATAAGTGGGAAAATGATGCAGCGACTCACTAATGGACCTGTTTGGATAGAAAGGTACTTATTTCCTAGAAGTTAGTGTTATCCAGAATATTAGACCAATCCAAAGTGAAAATGATTTTGTGAGTTTGTCATTCTGACATTTATTTGGAGATTATTCCTCCAGGTTTTTTGTTTGTTTTTGGTACTAAAATGTCCCTTTTAAGGAATGATGATAATAGTTGTTGGCAGTTGTTTTTTGTTTTGTTTTGTTTTGTTTTTTTTTTTTTTAATTAAAATCCTTGGCAAAACAAAGCAGGAAACCTTATTTAAGTCCCTACTTTCTTCTGTCATAATTCTTCTTACATCTGAAATTTAACCGTCTTCTAGAAGCTTTAAGTTGTGTAAGCATTGACGAAGTTTCAGTAGGGTTGTAGTGTGATCGAAGTGTTGTGATATGTTTTGGGAGTGATGGGGGTGCCGGTTGGGCACATTCTGCTTCCTGTTGAGGATGACTTAAAGTCAGGGGCAATGCAGGGTGAAGGGGAAGTGTGAGGAGTTCAGAGTCACTTGGGTGGTGGCTGTGGTAGAATGTGTGTCTCTGCTTGTGGGGCCTGTCACCAGCCTTCTCCTGTTGCTAATCCCCAGCAATCCTGTTAAAAGTACCCTGAGTTTATAGACAAGTTTGAGATCTAGAATCATGGTCACAAGTGAGTTCTTGGAGGTGGTGTATCTGGTTTGTGGCGGTAAGCTGAGGGTCAGAAAAAGTTGAGTGGATGGTTTGCCAGCTTCATTCTGATACCTATAAAAGTTGCTTCCCATGATTTGTGAGTGTAAATCACTCTGAGGTCTTAAGTGCAAATCATTAACACTTGAGGATACATGTTTTCTGTTTTAAGTTCCACACTCCAAAATAGTCTTAAACTAAGGAATTCTTTTTTAAATGTGGAGCTAGCTTTTTGCCACATCTGTTGCAAGAATGAAGACTGTTCTGAGCAATCACTCTGAAGGGATGTGCTATTACTGCACAGAGCCCCAGAGGAACCCGGCAAAGGGACTCAGTTACATCAATGTAGAACTTGGTCTCCTTGGAAAGAAGGAGACGGTGCCAGGTTGACAAATGGTGGGGAAATGTCCTTAGCTGTAGCCAGTTCTTTCCTGTCTGTAGTTCTTGTAGAACATGAGCAAGGGTGTTACACTGGGCTTTCATTACAAGATGAGGTCTGTGTGTGCTCATTTCCCCATCAGTGTTGTTCAGGAGCATGGTTTTCTTGTTGAATATGACATTTCTTGGGTGAAAATACACCAGAAGGGTTTGGATGAGGCTAGGTGTTGAGGGTTCAGTATCTCTCAAGCCAAGAAAGATGAGTTAATTCTAGAAGGAAATGACCCTGGACTTGTATCAAATGAGCTGCTTTGATTCAGCAAGCCACAACAGTTAAAAACAAGGTATCAGAAAATACTGGCTGGTGTCTATGATTTTGAAAAAGGAACAGTTCACTGCAGGCTGGTGATTAAGGTCTAAGATGCCAGATGACCTTTTAGACTCTCTTGTGGTATTCCCTACCCCCCATTCTCCCCCACCCCCCGGCTTGTGGTATTCTAGAAACATAAAGATAAAAGTGTGGAGCTAGTATTACCTGCTCCTGTCATGGATTTGGGACTCCACGTGGTGGAGGTGGGGTGCTAGGAACAGTAGTTGATAGATTTTAAAAAGCATTACCCACAGCCTCTGCTCTTCAGACTGAGAGTTGGCAAATGATACCCTGCCTGATGCCTGCTTTAAAAAAAAGAATATGTGACAGAGACCATTTGTGGCCAGGTAGGCCTAAAATACTTACGTTTGGACCTTCACAAAAGTTTGCTGGACTCTCATCGGAGAGCTCACCATCTCAGCTGTAAGTGTGCGGGTGTCTCTCCTTCAGCCAGAGTTCTGCTCCTATGTGACTTAATAATATGAGTTTTGACTTAGGTCCATAATTCACCTTTCCTCATTTACGAGCTAGTATCTCAGCTTCTTGGACACGCACATTCCCATATACGGAGCTCAGGATTGTTGTGAGAATTACTGGCCCTGGATTTTTATTGCCTGAAAAGAGTAGATGTTAACATGTTGCTTTTCACTGATGAGTGAAGGCCAGTTTGGGGTCAGCAGCTGAGTAAGTGAGGAGACCAGTTTTCTGGTACTCTATCCTAGTCGTTTTTTAGCAAACAGTGCATGAATTGAAAATAAGTAAGGAAAACGTTCAGTTTCACATTAAATTCCATTCTTCTGCTATACAGAACCTTACTGTTGGGTATCAGAAAGACTTCGGTTTTACTGGTTTCCACGGAGAATACGGCTTACTCAGTATTGTTCCATCTTTGAAGTAGAGTGTAATATCCGCCATGCAGCTGTCTAATCTAGCCCTTTGTGTCAGTGCTGTTTTCTTGTATTTTCCTTTATTGTGCATGTAGCACAAGAGGAAGTGCTAAATTCATTTTTCTTATGTGTTTTAGACTCATGATAGTAAAGAGCACCTCGCAATGATGGAACGAATACTAGGACCCATACCAACACACATGATTCAGAAAACAAGGTACGTGTAGTGCCTGTATTCAGACTACAGAGAACCCAACTTTGGTCTCAGTGCTTATCCCAAGGACTTCAGATTTGGATTCTTTTCCCCCAGACAGTCAAATTTTTAAAAAGTAACGCAGTATTTACCTTGTGATCTAGTAAACAAAGGTGGTGTTTTTTACATTCAGGTTAACCTTTGCATAAATGTTTTCCTAACTTGATAAAAACATAATACAGAGAATAGTAAAAAGAGCTTGATCTTGGAGTCCTCTCGATCTGTTTGTATTCCGGACTACTGCTAGCTAGATGTCTGCCTTTGGACAAGATGCTAGAGTGGTTTGCAAATAGAACTTCGCCACCGCTTCCCAGATCTATTAAAATTGAACTCAGAGGACTGGATCCGGAGGCCGACGCTGGTCTATGTATGGTACTCATGAGCCACTTAGGTGGGCCGCTGAAACCCCTGAGGGTGCGTGAGTGAGGAAGATGCACCATGAAGTATCTGATCTGTAACTGCTGAGATTTGAAAAAACTGTATGCATGTGTATGTGTGTCTACAGAGCCGTCCATGCTCCCATCTGTTCCAGTGGGGGCAGGGTAAACATGTGGCTCTTCAGTTGTTTTTACTGACCCAGGCTTTTTCTCATAGAAAACGCAAGTATTTTCACCATAACCAGCTAGACTGGGATGAACACAGTTCCGCTGGCCGATATGTTAGGAGACGCTGCAAACCATTAAAGGTAAAAGAGGAAAGATACAAGGTGGTTTTAAAAAATGTTTTTAAAAACTATTTTTAAATCTCTTTCTTAAACAGACGTTTTTTCCCCCCAGGAATTTATGCTTTGTCATGATGAAGAACATGAGAAACTATTTGACCTGGTACGAAGAATGTTAGAATACGACCCAGTGAAAAGAATCACCTTGGATGAAGCCTTGCAGCATCCTTTCTTTGACTTATTAAACAAGAAATGAAATGGAAATCAGTGGTCTTACTATATACTTCTCTAGAAGAGATTACTTAAGACTGTGTCAGTCAACTCTAAACATTCTAATATTTTTGTAAACATTAAATTATTTTGTACAGTTAAGTGTAAATACTGTATGTTTTGTATCAATAGTATAATTACCTTGTTAAGCAAGTATGGTCTTGATAATGAACTATAAAAGTTAAAATTTTCCTTTTTGAAATTACCATTTTTAAAAATCTTTGGAATATTCTTTGTGTCCAGTGATAAATGTGATTGATCTTGTCTTTTGTACATGGAGGTCAACTCTTTGAAGTGATTTTTTTGAGTAAAAGGCAATCTTGACTACTTTATTCTTAATGAATATTCTTTATATACCTCAAATTCAAAACTTTTCGTAATTTTTTTTCTGTAATTGTTGAATAGGTAATAAGTATTAATTCCCAATAGGCAGGTATTGGAAACCAAAACCCATAGGAAAATGTTTACTCTTGGAATTTCATTAAATTTTAAGAATCGTGTTCTGTCTTCAGTGGGTGATGTCAGTGATGATATGTAGCGCTCGTGGAAAGGCCTCTAGTTGATCCATCGTGACAGGTTGGTTTTTTTTTTTTGTTTTTGTTTTTGTTTTTGTTTTTGTTTTATCATGGAAATAGATCGAAAAATTCTTCCAAGTTTTATTGCTTAGAAACAGACCTTAAAAGGAGGAAATAGAATAAGAACATTTGGTCCAGATCATTTAAGCAGTACTGTCCACCTTCCCACCACTGTTGGGAAGCAGATACACTTTAAGTTTATGGACAAGTTTCTCAACCATCAAAACTCCCATACTCTGCAAGTCTTCTAGTCTCTCATGTCTTTTTTTTTTTTTGGTATATTAACTTTTATTTTTTTTTTATTTTATTTTATTTTATAATTTTATTTTTTATAAACATATATATATATATATTTTTTTTTTCCCCCCCAGGGGTACAGGTCTGTGAATCTCCACGTTTACAAACTTCACAGCACTCACCATAGCACATACCCTACTCAATGTCCATAACCCCCCCCCTCCCAACCCCCCTCTGCCCAGCAACCCTCAGTCTGTTTTGTGAGATTAAGAGTCACTTATGGTTTGTCTCCCTCCCAATCCCAACTTGTTTCATTTACTCTTCTCCTACCACATTAACCCTCCATGTTGCATCTCCTCTCCCTCATATCAGGGAGATCATATGATAGTTGTCTTTCTCCGATTGACTTATTTCGCTAAGCATGATACCCTCTAGTTCCATCCACGTTGTGGCAAATGGCAAGATTTCATTTCTTTTGATGGCTGCATAGTATTCCATTGTATATATATATATACCACATCTTCTTTATCCATTCGTCTGTTGATGGACATCTAGGTTCTTTCCATAGTTTGGCTATTGTAGACATTGCTGCTATAAACATTCGGGTGCACGTGCCCCTTCGGATCACTACGTTTCTATCTTTAGGGTAAATACCCAGCAGTGCAATTGCTGGGTCATAGGGTAGTTATATTTTCAACATTTTGAGGAACCTCCATGCTGTTTTCGAGAGTGGTTGCACCAGCTTGCATTCCCACCAACAGTGTAGGAGGGTTCCCCTTTCTCCGCATCCTCGCCAGCATCTGTCATTTCCGGACTTGTTAATTTTAGCCATTCTGACTGGTGTGAGGTGGTATCTCATTGTGGTTTTGATTTGTATTTCCCTGATGCCGAGTGATATGGAGCACTTTTTCATGTGTCTGTTGGCCATCTGTATGTCTTCTTTGCAGAAATGTCTGTTCATGTCTTCTGCCCATTTCTTGATTGGATTATTTGTTCTTTGGGTGTTGAGTTTGCTAAGTTCTTTATAGATTTTGGACACTAGCCCTTTATCTGATATGTCGTTTGCAAATATCTTCTCCCATTCTCGTGACAGGTTGTTTGATAAAACCACATACAGTCTTCATTTAACATTCAAGTCTGACTGGCAGGTCACAAACAAATAGGAATTCTGATGCCTGAGGATTTAATTTTTAATTCCACGTGGAGGAGTTTAGAAATCATGGAACATCAGTTTCCACATCACATGAAGTAATAAGTAAATACTTGAGCCTCAGCCTATGACAATTAAGGTCATGAAGCAGTTTAGATTTCTGTTACATCTCTAGTGGAGCAGAACGATTTGCTTGGAAAACACCTGGGAAGAAACCTCTGCTGAATATTCCAGACCATAATTGGCTAACACGAGAAACTTTTTGTCTGCCTATAGGAATTTTTTCTTAGTTACCTGTCTTCACAGTAGAAACTACATGGTAAGTGTTACTTAATTTAGTAAGAAGAACTGCCAGGTAGAAATACTTTTTGGTGTAAAAACCATAACATTATTCAGATACAGGTTTTTTTTTTTTTTTTTTTTTTGTCAAAAATACTGCCATTTTTGTAAGTGCATTATACAAAGATTTGAGTTGTTTGGCTTACGTTTTAAACATAGAACTCATGGGATTTTCTTGTATGACAAACAGTGAAACCAGGCTGGGTTCCCCTCTGTTATTCACCGGAGGCATTTGCCAATATAACAAGGCTCCTGTTCTTTTCTTTTCTTTTTTAATTTTATTTAGTTTCTTGACACAGAGAGAGCACAAGCTGGCAGAGTAGCAGGCAGAGGGAGAGGGAGAAGCAGGCTCCCTGCTAAGTAAGGACCCCGATATGGGGCTCAATCCCAAGACTTGGGGATCATGACCCGAGTCGAAGGCAGTCGCTTAACCAACTGAGGCACCCAGGTGCCCCAAGGCTCCTGTTCTTGAAGTTGACTAGGAATTTAAGAAAGCCGAAATTCTGCCTCAGAAGCACAGCATAAATTAATCGTGGGCCTCTGATGCAGTCCACATGCAGTAGCTGCCCTCATAATAGTTGAACTGTATGTTGTGACAAGGTGTTTTCTTTTTTGTTCCAAGCTTTTATTTGAATTCCAGTTAACATAGAGTATAGTACTAGTTTTAAGTGTAGAATTCTGCAGTTCCATGCTTCCATACAACACCCGATGCTCAGGTCCTCATCGCAGCCAGTGGCCTCCTTAGTCACCTGTTTCTCACCTAATCACCCCACCCCCACCCCGGTAACCAGCAGTGTGTTCTCTGTCATCTAGTCTGTTTCTTGGTTTGCCTCTGGTTTCTTGGTTGTCCTATGTTTAGCTTCTTAAATCCCTCGTATGAATGAAACCTCTTCCTCTGACTTCTTTGCTTAGCATTGTACTTGAGCTCCATCCATGTTGCTGCAAATGACAAGATTTTATCATTTTGGTGGCTGAGTAATACTCTGTCGGATCCATATACCACATCTGCTTTATGCGTTCATCCATTGGTGGACAATAGCGCGCTCTACCATGGTTTGGCTCCTGTTGATAATGCTGCTAGAAACGGGTGCATGTATCCCTTCGAGTCAGTTTTTTGTATCCTTTGGGTAAAGGCCTAGCGGTGCAGTTGCTGGGTTGTAGGGTAGCTCTGTTTTTTTTTTAACTTTTTGAGGAACCTCTGGTTACCAGGGCATTTTGCTGATGACGTCCTTTGCTCCACAGAGGCTTTTTAGTTTGATGAAGTCCTACTTGTTCATGATTGTTTTTGTTGCCTTTGCTTTTGGTATCAGGTCCAAAAAATCATCACCAAGACAGATAATCCAAGCCTGCCTATGTCTGCTGCTAGGAAATTTATGGGCTCAGTACATTTCAGTCTGGTTCATTTTGAAAGCTAGGTTTTTATGAGGCTTTTTTTTTTTTTTTTTAAGAAGGTGGAGAGAATTTTTTTTTTAAAGATTTTATTTATTTATTTGACAGAGATCACAAGTAGGCAGAGTCAGGCAGAGAGAGAGGGGGAAGCAGGCTCCCCGCCGAGCAGAGAGTCTGATGCAGGGCTCAATCTCAGGACCCTGAGCTGAAGGCAGAGGCTTAACCCACTGAGCCACCCAGGCGCCCCTATGAGGCATTTTTTAAAGTGCAACTGAGTAGGTGGTTGCAGTGTTTTCAGCTCCTGCTTCTCTCTCAGGTGTTCTCATTCATTAGAATGTTCAGAGCAGGTAAATAAAATTGACACCGGCTATTACTCACCTGGCAGCAAATTATCCTGTGAAGTTTTATAGTTCATAAAATTGAAAACTATTCCTCCAAATAATGTCAAAGAGCTAGATGCTGTAGAAATTGGAAATGATTTGGCCAAGTCTCTTGGTCGTGGCTGAGTTGAGACTTAACTCTCAAGTTTCCCTGATTCCACTTTTCTGTGAAAGCACACGTCATTGGTCCAAAATTCCATCAGTTCGATTCTTGTTCATAGCTCTAATGCGAAATGAGCTGTGATGAAATGGAAAGTAATGGTTAATAGAGAGTTTTACTACTTGGATTCCACCTTCACATGTTTCTTCACTACAGTCGATAGGTAGCTTCGGCCATCAAAGTGGTTAAAATGGTATGGTCATTTGAATTTAAAATTATGTTTTAAGTAGGTAGGCACATACCAGTACCTAAAGCTCATCTTGACATGAGGAAATGAATGAAGACAAAACTTCGTCAGGAAGGTGCACTGACTTTTTAAATCCTTCCCAATTTGAAGTTTGTGATTTCCATAAAACTTTATGCAGATGAAGTATTTTATTTTATTTTTTAAAGATTTTATTTATTTGCCAGAGAGAGAGAGAGCAAGCAAGTACACACAAGCAGGCAGAGGCAGCGAAAAAAGCACGTTCCCTGCCGAGCAAGGAGCCCGATGCGGGACTCGATCCCAGGAACCCAGGATCACAACCCGAGCCGAAGGCAGCGGCTTAACCCACTGAGCCACCCAGGCGTCCCAGATGAAGTATTTTAAATGGAAACATCCAGTACTTCTTAAGCTAGTTTTTCAAATATGGTCAGAAGGATTCATTTCAAATAACAGCACCAAGATCAGTGTCAGTAATTGGCTTAGTAGATCTAATGTTTGTAAATAAATAGGCCAAAACAATTTTTAATTCTTAAGAATTGATTTTTTTTTTCCTGTCTCCAGCTAAATCCCTAAGCTCAAGTTTTGTTTGGTTGATTAATTGGTTTTATTTTTTTAGGTAGAGGGAATGTAAAGTCAAGGACAGGTTTATTTTACAATTTGGTCAATCCAGACTTGGATATAGGTGATGTGAATACACTTAATTTGAGTCATGTGGGGAAGCTGACTAGTTCTATATTGGTAATTAATTTTTAAAAATAGAATGCAGTGGGGCGCCTGTGTGGCTCAGTCAGTTAAATGTCTGCCTTTGGCTCGGGTCATGATCTCGGGATCCTGGGATCAAGTCTTTTTGGGCTCCTTGCTCAAGGGGGTATCTGCTTCTCCCTCCCTGTCTGCCAC